CATAGAATAATTGAAGGTGCCATAAGGTCATTTTAAAATCTTAAAAGATGACGCTGTTAAGGTGCTACGTTCAATATGCCAGCAAATTTGGAAAACCCAACAGTGGCCAGAGGACTGGAAAAGATCAGTCTACATCCCAATCCCAAAGAAGGGCAGTGCCAAAGAATGCTCCAACTACCATACAATTGCACTCATTTCGCACACTAGCAAGGTTATGCTCAAAATCCTACAAGATAGGCTTCAGCAGTATGTGGACCGAGAACTCCCAGAAGTACAAGCTGGATTCCGAAGGGGCAGAGGTACTAGAGACCAAATTGCTAACATGCACTGGATTATGGAGAAAGCCAGAGAGTTCCAGAAAAACATACTTATGCTTCGTTGACTATGTAGAAGTCTTTGACTGTGTGGACCACAGCAAACTATGGCAAGTCCTTAAAGAAATGGGAGTGCCTCACCACCTTATCTGTCTCCTGAGAAATCTCTATGCTCAAAGCAGGAATCCAAATCAAAAGATATCTGATAGATGGTGGTCCAATTTTCTTTTGTAGGCCTCCGGCGTTGGAGCACTCACCGCCCCTCGAGGTCATAGGTTCTGTTGTCGTACTGCTGTAACAGTTAAGAAGTTTTTCCTTACATTGTCCTTGAATCGGGCTTCATGCCATTATCATGTGTTCTGCACTCCAAATCTATCCTGTCTCCTCTCCGTCTTCTTTTCTTAATCAGGAATAGTGAGCTGTGGGTGCGCGCGCATGTCGATGGCCAGGCACGATGTCACGTGACAGGAATGGAATGCCTTGCTGCTGGCACCCCTTTAAAAATGTTTTTAAAAGTATTTATGCCCATCTTCAGACGTGCAGTGTCAAATACAAGTTTTTAAAAAGGAATTGGTCCTGTGCGTGTACCAACAGAGGCACAAAGGGGAAAAAAATTCAGAGACATGACAGAGGTCGAGGGAGAGCAAGTGGCAGCGAAGGAAGAGGTGGGGAAAGAGCAGGCAGGCAGCCGGTAGGGTGGGGAAACGGACAGTCCTGCTCCCCCTAAGAGTCCAATAGCAAGAGAGGACACCTTCCAAATTTGTTCGCTTGCATCAATTCCGTTGGCTTATTAAGAAACTGTGAGAGCTGTCGCTAGTCCCCACGCCAGGCTAGAAAGAGGTAAGGCCTTTTTCTCCACAGAGAGCGGAAGGATCCATTTCACAAACACACAGGAGAAGCTTTTGCAAACATATCAGTGCTATCGCAGACCTTGAGAGAATAGCACTGTGTAAGAAGTAACCATCTTAAGCCAAAGAGGTTGTTGACAACCTGTGAAGGGAGTGTTATCTATCTGCTCTCTTTCCCCTGTCCGGGGTGAGCATCATACAGCCATGGATGGAAAAGCTCATGATCCAATGTATTGGAAATGGTGAGCGAAAGTCTTCTGTCTTGGCCCATTTTACTGGAAACCCAAAAAAGTGCAATGAACTTGGGGCCAAACTGTACGTTAGACATCATTTATCACCAGAGTCGAAACCACGTCCGTCTTCAAGAGATGTGAGCAAGAAATTAAGAGAGCCGTTTGGACCAATGCTGCTTTTAAACAATCATGTTAACATAATAATACAGCCAACCCCAATGAGTAACGTAACACAGTACTTCTGCAAAGTAACCTTCCATGCGCTGGGTGCCCCTTCCTGTTTTGGATCAGATTGGGGGGGGCATTTTTTCTATCCTTATAAACAGCTGCACCTGGTAGCTGGTCAAGGGATAAAGACCAGCATCCTGCAGATGCCCATGGGGGTCAAAATTCCAACTTGGTCCAATGAACAGGGGGGAAAAAAGGGAGGGGGAAGCCTGAACAGCAACAAGCACACCGTTCTTCCAACCTCCACCCACTCGCTGGTTTGCCTCCCCAACAGAAACGGTGCCCCTCCCCGGAGCAAGGGCCTGGCAGCCACATGGATGAACATACAGTACTAATAGACTTGCAACAGAATTCCCCAGACGAAGAAGGTGGGGGGCAGAAGGAGGGGGAATCCTTAAAATTTTCCAAGAAGATGCTGAGTGCCAATGAGAAATTTTAAAAAAAGTTTCACAGTTTGCCAGATGTGTTGGGGGGTGTGTGGAATGGACCTACAGCATCTCTGGAGGGTCATTAGAGGCAATCCAGCGCGCTCTCCTCCTGGCTTATATGGAAATTTGGAACTCGCCTCCGGAGTGGAAAGATTAGAAGCGGGCAGTTGCATAAACAAGGCTTAAGTTTCTGCAAAAGCTGGGCCTCAACTCTTCATGGCAGTTTTACCCACTGACCGGAGAGACAGAAAGAGAGAGAGAGAGAGATTTCTCCATAGGGCCAGACTAGAAGGCAGATGACAAGAGGCGAGGAAGGATAGACCTCCCACAAGGAAGAAGGAATTTCAGGAAATGGTTAGCAGCACCTGTTGAATTTCCTGCTTCTACACAACTGTTTAAAGCTGCACAGCCTTGCCCTTTTTTCCTATCTGGCCACCCAACGGAGAGGTTAAGATGAAAACAAAGGCAGTGATTTTAAACAACAATATTGAAATCAAAAATTTAGCTGGCGCAAGTTATGGGATGTGAGCACAGGGATTGGTGTGACTCTCCAGGGCTTTGCCTGTTGAATTCTGACCTGCTCTTTGGCTGTTAAAAGCCCAGGAGCCCTGAGCCATCGCTCAGACTTTTTAAAAAAAAATAAAATAGTGAGCCCAGAGTGAAATCATCACCGTGCTCCCTCATTACCGAGGAAAGCACTCTGTACATGCAGAGAGGCACCCTCTACCGTTTGTCCTAGGATTTCTAGGTCTGGAAGTCTGGGATTAGCAGCAGAACCCATGTTTAGGGTGCGGAAGAGCCAAGAATTTATTTATTTTATTTATACCCCGCCCATCGGGTTTTCCGACCACTCTAGAAGCAACCCATGACATTCGTTTTTGGAAGAGTAAGAGTACAGGCAATGGACAAGATTTCAAGAGAGATGGTGCCCACGGACAGTAACAAGCAGCACCCACATGGCAAAGGAGATGGTGGGCGTTGTCATCCAAAAAAAGGAACTTCTCCCAGGTCTATCCCTTTCCCAGTTCCTCTTTTGGACATGTGCGCTCACAATTGCAACTACGATCCCGGGAATGTCTTGCATTTGGTCCCGAACCGTTGACCATCAAGAACACGGACTATGGGGCAACACGCAGCCCTGTGCTGGCTTTAGGTGCCAGGCAGATTCGTGTCTTCCTGTTTATCGACCCCAGTTGTTTCTGTTTTAGTTAAGGCATATTGAGACATGTTATTTGGCAGCCAAAGACAAGCCCGGGGAAGGAGCCGCAAATCAGGTGTACCGAGAGGAGGAGGAGGAGAGAGTGGGTGATGGCGCCGCACCCTGACAGATTAAAATTCTGGAATGTGCCAACAATCTCAAACAAACTAAACCGAAAATAAGTGGAAAAGGTACAGTCTTGCCTGCCCTTCCCTGGGTGGTCATTATCATCCCACGGCACATGGTTGGATTTGCTTTCTGGCCGGCCAAAAAGGCGAACAAGTGGGTCCTAGAACAAATCAAGCTTGAACTCTCTCTGGAGGTGAAAAAAAATGTTGGGAAATGAGGCTGCCTTGTTTTGAGCCCATCGTGAGATGCTGGGAAAAGTGGGAGGCAGCAGGGAAAGAGGAAGGCCCCCATACAAGATGGACGGACTCCCTAAAGGAAACCACGAGCCTCAGTTTACAAGGGCTGAGCAGGGCTGTGAAGGACGGGACGTTTTGGAGACCATTCCTTCATAGGGTCCCCAGACGTCACCGGCAACTTGAGAGCACATAACGACAACAGACACACACAAGGTCAAATCATAGCACCGGAGAAGTCCAGTGCTTACCCTACAACCTGCGAACCCTGTAGCTCACGTCAGGGCCAGTAGCCAACGAGCGAGTCAGAAGGGTTAAGCATGTACAGAGTAACTTTGACAGCTGAGCTGATCAACCTCTAAAACTCCATATTTACAGAACGGATCACAAAGATATTTTGGACCTTTGCCATTTACGGAATGGATCACAAAGATATTTTGGACCTTTGCCATGTATATATTTTTTTCCCAAACTGCACCTGCTCTGAGATCAAACAGCAGTATTTTTTTTCCAAACTGCACCTGCTCTGAGATCAAACAGCCGCACAATGCACAGAAACAGATGAGCAAATGCATTCTCTACCTCCAGGTAAACACAGCTTTCCAGACATCTTTGTTTAAGAGCTTTCGAAACCAACAACATAGTAGCCTAGTGGTTAGAGGGCTGTAAGATCCGGTTTTAAAGCCCCCCCCCACAACTCAGCCAAGAAACCCCCTGGTTCACCTTGGGTCAACCACTCTGCCCCTGACCCACCTCCCAAGGTGGTTGTGAGAACAATGCACAGGGGGACAAACCCCCCCCCTTTTCGAACACCTGCTTTCACCGGAGGAGAGGCACAGAAGAGAAACATAGCAAATGCATAAAATGATATTAACTGCAGCCGCCCCCTTATTTCAGCACCAGAACTGAATTCTGGAAATTGAAAAGGAGCAAAGAGAAGGGCCACCAAGCAGGTGCAGAAATCCTTTCGCAAGGCGTTCAATAATCATACGCGCTATGCGCACACCCCCAGAATCCCTGCACAGGAGTTGCCACCCCAAAAATGTTACCAAGATGCAGGGAGCTATTAAACAAAAGTTTGTTCCAGTGGTCCTGGATCGGAGCCTGGAAAGATATAAACTGAAAAGTGCTCCGGACTACATGGCCCAGAATCTGCCTGGCTTCCTGAAGGATGATGGCTGCTGTAGTCCACAGAACAAGTTTCCCACGCTCTGCCCCCAGCTATCCAGCCAAGCACCTGAGTTGGAGATTAATACCACCTCAAAACTCTCCTGCTTTGCAGCCAGCCCTTCTTCCAACTCCTTACTCTCAAGCCTCTGGCAATAAACTGTTGTGATCCTTTGGAAACCCACAACACACAAAAACACACAGAGAAAGACAGACCCTCACCTCTTCTTCTGGACGGTCGGGCTGTATTTCCCTTTGTTTCTCCTCTTGAAAAGCGAATGCATGGCGACGACAACTCCAGCTGTGGCCAAAAAATCTGGTTTCGGAGGGCAAAATGAACCGGCCGAGTTGGTGACAGCGCCTGTCCCCGCTTCCAAAGGGGCCGGATCCGGTGGCTTTGTGTTGGATCCTGCCGGTTGGAAGGGACTCGGCTGGATGGAGAGGAGGAACAGAGGGGAGAGAGCCGGGCTTGCAGCCACCTTCAGCCCTGCTTCTGTGAAACACAAGGCTGTCAAAGGAGGTGTGCGCTCCTCAGGGCCTCCCTGGCTTGGAGGCAACCTCCCATTTAAGGTGGTGCCTCCTTACCTTCGACGCATGTCACGGGTGACAGGCGGAGCTGGGCCAGGACATGGGTTTCCTCCACTCCCTTTTGCAGAGAGCCGAGGTTGTGGAGGGAATGTGGCTTCAACTATGAGCATTATTCTTTGTGCGCCACCAGCTCGGATTATTGCTGTCGGCTCAGATTTTCTGCTCCTCTGCCTTTAGTGACAGCAGCCTCTAAAAAAGGTGGACCTGACTCCGGATCGGTCTCTGCGTGCACTGAGATCAAGAGCCGGCCGTGGTCCGAGCTGTGGGCACAGAGGGGCGAGATCTGAGTTTTAATCCTCCCAGAAGCATGGAAACTGGCCCGGCGGGGCTTCATCCGTTCCTGCTTGTTCTCTCAGCCGTCACCTACCTGGCAGGGTTGTAAGGAGGATGAAGGTGGGAGAGGGGAAGAGGCATTATGAAATCAGTGGAAGAAAAGGAGAATACAGTGGTGCCTTGCTAGACAGTTACCCCGCATGACAGTTTTTTCGCTAGACATTGACTTTTTGCGATCGCTATAGTGATTCGCAAAACAGTGATTCCTATGGGGAAATTTCGCTGGACAATGTTTGGTCCCTGCTTCGCAAACCGATTTTTGCTAGACGACGATTTTGACAGCTCCCTCTGCGCTCACAAAACAGGTGTTTTCGGGACCTAAGCTTCGCAAGACAGCGATTTAAACAGCTGATTGGTGGTTCGCAAAGCGGCTTTCCGATGGCTATTATTGATACCCAGTGTGAGGTAGTGGATAGACGGAGACTCTGAAGGCCTGTGTTCAAATCCCTGGTCAGCCATAGAAACTCTGGTGAGGGAGGGTACTGGAAAAACCACTCCTTAAATATCTCACTTACCTTTAAAAAAAACCAGCAAAAGGCAGTGCAAGTCAAATGCAGCTTAACACGTAAATGGAAATGATAACTACCTGGACAGCTCAGCGGTTTAGGTCTCCCCTCCAGGGAGAACAGCCAGCCTGTATAGCCTCGGGCCAGCTGCACAGTCCCAAGGCATGAATGGGAAATCGCTTCTGAGTTTTCTGTGCCTAGAAAACTCCAAAAAGGGTAGCCAGAAATCAGAACTGACTTCATGGCATGTGGTTGCTATTATTGATGCCCAGTGTGAGGTAGTGGATAGACGGAGACTCTGAAGGCCTGTGTTCAAATCCCTGGTCAGCCATAGAAACTCTGGTGAGGGAGGGTACTGGAAAAACCACTCCTTAAATATCTCACTTACCTTTAAAAAAAACCAGCAAAAGGCAGTGCAAGTCAAATGCAGCTTAACAACACATAAGACCTTCATAGCAAATAAATAATAAATCATCAGGTGAAGCTTTTTTTCCCAAAAAGAAGTTAAGGGTGGATGCAGGAAAAGAAGTTTTCTGGAAAAGCCACGAATTTTGAGTGGCTCTTTGAGCAAGGGCAGGCAAGAAGGCAGGAAGGAAGTGGCATTTTTCCCCTTATTGGACACTGTATAAGGTTGCCAACTTTTAAACTGCTGCTTGCAGCTGTGCTTTTTCCATAAGCTGTCTTTCCGGTGTAATTTCTCCAGTGCAGTGGTTCTTAGCCTTAGGAGTTTTTGGACTGCATTTCCCAGAAACCTCTGCCACCAGCTGTGATGTCTGTGGTTTCTGGGAGTTGTAGTTCAAGAACACTTGGGGGACCCAAAGGTTGGGAACCATTGATTGCTCCAGTGCAATAAAGGCAACATCACATGTCTGCCCTCGCCCACCTTAGTTTATGGACAACAACCCAGGAAGGGGTCAGGATAAAGGGAAAAACAGTGACTGGTGTGAGGCGGCTTAGTCAGTTTCGTGGTCCAGAAAAAGCTAGAATATTGATTTCCTGAGTCTTTTGTTAGTCAAGACACCGTGGAGAGCAAGGGAATAAATATTTCACTTCCTGACACTACGAGGAATTTGTTGACATTGATTTCAGCAGAATAAGCTCAGAAGTTCGGAAAAAAGTGCTTGCCCCGGAAGACATTTTTGCTGCTTCCACGGGAGCCCCTACAAACATAAAATGGGGGGGGACGCGTCCCGCCCCCCAAAAAGAAAACCCTCCACAAAGCCCTAAAAATTGAAACCAAAGGACCAAATATAGCATTGCACAAAAAAAGAAAAGAAAAAAAGCTTTTATTTCTCCCACACCTTTAGGGGATGTCTGAGTGGTGTGTGCGTGTGCGTGTGCGTGTGCGTGTGCGTGTGTGTGTGTGTGTGTGTGTGTGTGTGTGTGTGTGTGTGTGTAAAATGGATTGTTGTACCTTATTGCTTCGAATGCCTTTTTAGTGTTGCTTTTGTTAGCACAGTATTGGTTTGCTCCTTTTTTAGCATTTGCAAACTTGGCCGCGGTGAACTTTAAATCCCCTCGTTTGCCAATGTACGCCGCTGAGGGTCCTTTTTTAAAGGACAAGGGTGGGGTACAAAATATTGTACAATAAATACAGTACATACATAATTCTGGAGGGGGGGAGAGAGAGATTTCCGGTGGCAGAAAAACTAGTCCTCCAAGCCTTGCCCAAAGGGCTTTTTAACAAACATGACGTGTGCCAAAACACACAGAAACGCCTTCGCGATGAGCCCCTCAAACTCTAGCACCCAGCGATGCTTTAAAGCCACCCCATGCACAGAGGAGATCCTTTCTCCTCCTCTCTGAAGAACCCCCCCCCCAAGATTTCAATCCCAGTCTAGAGACCACCCGGGGAGGGAAGCCGTTCCCTGAGGCCTCATCCTGCACCTTGGGATCTGCCCACTTTATATATTAACAGTAATTAACTCCAGCCTTCTCCCCTTTGCAGGCACATTGGCAGATGGAGAGCGGGCCTGGTCTTCTGGTCCAGGTGGGCATCCCCAGGCCTGCTGGGTTGCTAGGCAACCGCCCTGGCCGGGCACAGGTAAGAGGTTTGCCCCTGGTCTCTCTCTCTTAGGCTCATCATTCGCAGGGCAGGTGTTCCTTTACAAGCCCTGACACAATAAACTGGTTTGGGGAGGGTGTTGCTCGTGGCTGGGGTGTAACCCCCGCCCGACAAAACAACAGCCAACCCCACCTTCGTCCTCTCGTTCCCCCTACCATTCCCCCCCCCCGCTTTTGTGCCTCATCGTGGCAGGTAAGACCGCTTAGGCCAAAGCAGGGTGAGAATAACGCGAATATGGCGAGGAACCCATTTGCCCCCATTTTTGAAAAGGAGGGCGAGACCGCTCAGAAAGAGGTGTAAAGGCAGATCGTTTATGAATAAAGGCTATTCCTCAAATTTAGAAAGGGAGGAACGTATGACACACCAGGCAAACATGAGGAGGAAGGAAATCCAACCCGATTTTTCTAAATCTACAAGGGATGGTCCCCTTGAGGCATCACGAAGTAGCCTCCCGGCGTTTCCTGAAGGTGTTTTTTCATCTGAAAAACAAATTATTGCCCATGAAAGGGGGTCTTTTCCCCCTCATTCAAATACTGTAGCACGTTCCTAGCAGTATTTACTCAAAAATAAGTCCCGGTATGGTGAACAAAATTAGCCTTATAAAAACCATGCTATTCCTGCCACCAAGCGACAGGGCTACAGCTAATTGTTAATTAGCAATTGTTAATGGTTAGGCATATTGAAAAAACGGATCCACACTCTGCTTGGGACTGCATCTATCTATCTATCTATCTATCTGCCAGGCTTATATTTAATTTAATCTGGATCCACACAAGATGTTGATCTAATTTGTTACATTCATTCAATAGACCTACTGTGCTTGGGACTCTATCTATCTATCTATCTATCTATCTATCTATCTATCTATCTATCTATCTATCTATCTATCTATCTATCTATCTATCTATCTATCTATCTGTCTGTCTGTCTGTCTGTCTGTCTGTCT